GGGAATGGCCTGAAACTGGGAAGTTTAGGCTGGATATTAGGAAAAGGTTCTTCACCCAGATGGTGGTTAAGCACTGAAACAGGCTCCCCAGGCAAGTTGTCACAACACCAAACCTGTCTGAGTTCAAAAAGCATTTGGACAACACTCTCAGGCATGTGGTGGATTGTTGTGGTGTCCTGAGCAGGGTCAGGAGTTGGACTCTGATGGTCCTGATGGGTTCCTTCCAGCTCAGGGTATTCCATGATTCTAAGATTACACTTACCAGGAATAAGGGCTCTCCTGGCAGCTTCAGCATCTATGAGGGTTTCTCTTAAATCACAGTTTGAGTCTCTTAATAGGAGTTGATGGCTGTGTTTCAGCAGGATCTGCCACCTCCTACCATGCAGCATTGTCACCTCTCTCCTGGTTGGAGGCAGAGAGCACGGAATGAGTAGAGCTGACACATTCAGAGGTGAAGGGTAGATTGGTGTTGCCCATGGCAGAGAGCTGACCCAAGGCTCAACCCCTGATCACAAGGGCTGCTCTTCCTCGTGAGCAAAGAGACTCCTCCTCTGGAGTCTGGGCTGACATATTTCCACTTGCAACCAACAACCTCATTTCCATATGGAGTCAGCCAGCAGTCACACTGGAAATCATGTTGACGTAACTGCTAATTACCCTCAGCATAACTAATGTGCAGTAGCCAAGCCTGTATTTATTGCAGAGGGCCAGCTCTGTGCTCCAGAGTGGCTGAAGTGTGGTTCTCCCAGTGGGGTGGCTTTGTGTGGCTTGGAGGGGAACCAGGCTGGTGCAGAGACCATTGAATATGATCAGTCTCTCCTTGTGGAGAGAGACGAGCTGATGGGGCCTCATTTATTTGGTGTCTTTTCCCCAGAGGAGTCTGAACCTGGTTTCTGGAAGTGTGTCCTCTTCTTGGCTCTCTGAGGTATGTGGTGTGTTTTTTGTGGCTTTGGGATGTAGAAAGACTTAAATGTACAAGTCTCAGGACCAGAGGGTTTGGCCATTTACTCTGTTGTTATAGTTTTTCAGGCACTATCTGAGTTCAGGGCAGGGGGTGGAGAAAATGGGATCACAGAAATGCTGGTTGGCAACATCAGCTGGAGGACTCTAATTCAACTTCCTGATTGAAGCAGTAGCATTGTCAGCTGTAGACTGGTTTAGCTGTGTTTGCATCCAGCTAAGCCTTGAGTCACCTCTGCAATACATCATTTGTCATTTCCCAACAACCAGTGGCAGTGCTGTACTACCTGCCTAGAGGCATTTTTATCCTGCTATGCAACCTGCACCTTCCAAGCCACAGTCTGTGGCTACTGCCCTTTGTTATAGTGCCTGGCTCTACCACAAAGAGGTTGACTTTGTTGTCTTTGCCCTTTTGAGTAGCTGTAGGCAGCTTTCAGGCTGCCTTTCAGCCTCCCCTTCCCCAACAAACCTGAATCCCTGTTATCTGAAGGTATGTGCTCCCTGCCTCAGACCACCTTGGTAGCACATCTCAGAGCAGCTTCAAACCAGGAAAATCTCAACAGGATTTTGGAGTCTACATACATGGTGAAATCCTGGCCCTAACATACAAACATCTTTCAGGAAGATAAATCAAAGGGTGATTAATAAATAGGTTTATTAATAAGTAAAGGTATTTAATCCTCTTGAAAAATATATCTGTATGAAACCACAGCATGGATTAGTTTCTGTAGAGACCAACATGTTAATGAAATCAAAGTGCAGTTGTGAGTGTTGCTGTATCTTATGATAAAGCATCTTATGGGAAGAAGTGTGCTGTTCTCACTGCATGGTGGGAAGAAAAGGAAATTCCACAAATCCAGGCTGCAGAGTCGTTTCAATATCTTGGGCCTTCCATTTTACCTGGGGAACAACTGCAGGGTGTGAGACACCTCCAGTCAAACCTGCTAGCCTTTGAGTTCCCTTGCTGCCAACAAGACCAGCAGTCGACTGGAGCAGTGCATCATCTTGCTACTGATGCTTTTCTCCAGGTAAAGTTTTCCCCTTGGTGCAGATGAGTGACCTGCTGCCTGTAAAGGTGAGCAGAGACCGGAGGAGGGGGGAATGGGATGTGCTCCAAGCTTGCAGGGATCTGATTTCCATACCACAGCGAACTGAACTTATTCCTGGATATGTGGGAAGGAGATGCTCTGAAACCCGGAGACATGACCCCAGTCATGGTGTGGCTTGGCCTGTAATGCTTTTCTAGATATATCCCAAAAACAGAGTCAGCAGGAGAGGGAGTGGATTTTTTGCACAAGGTTTTTAAGTGTCTAAAAGTCAGACATCTGTAATCAAACTATCAGCTTTGACTGTCTTAATATACGAACTCATCTCTGGAGTCACCTTTTTCTCTCCATTGACTATAAAGGGAGGTTTGGAAATCTCGTTTTTAAATGCCTGAGTTAGGATGAATGAATCCCATAAACAGATATTTTGCGAATCTCTTATTATTTCTTCCCTTGTAACATTTTTCTGTAAGATTATTTTAGGGTTTTCATGTGTCACAGGTACATACACAGTGCTCCTTTTGCCCTTCTGCATCACTGCTTTTGCCATCCACATTTTACCCCTGCTCCCAGGCTGACATCCTGTTTTTTCCTTGCTGCCATCTCTTCACCCATCAACACCCAACCCACAGAAGTACTGGGGTGTGTTTGTGACAAGGGGTTTTGGTTACTGCCTAATCCCCCCCAGAAGACTCTGTGTTGCCACGTGAGAATCAGAAAGTGAAAATTTTTGGTCTCCAAAACTGAAAGGAACTGAGGGAGTGATACAAACCACAGGGAACCTGGCAGCTCTCAACTGGTGAGTGTTTGTAGCAGGGTGATGCTTCATTGGTGACAAGGAGGAGACCCCTCTGTCACCTGCTCTGCATGCTCTGGGAATGTGACACTCAGTCTGGTGGAGGTAATATAACCAAATCCCATGCCATCTTTTTCAACTGAAGTGGACAATATTAAAAAAACTGTCAATCCTTGTGAGGGATTAATGGATTGAACCCGTTTATCTCCAAAATTCAAGGATTGCCATAAGCCAGCATTTGGAATGTTGCGTAGAATGTCTCAAGGAAATAGTTTAGAATGGGCAATGTACACCCAGTGTCTCTGGGGGATTTGATAGCACAGTCAATCTCTTATATCCTTACCTTTTCTCGCATTTTTCCTCATAAAAGTGGTACTTCTTACATGTCCCTGGACAAGGGTTGTGTCGTTCACATGAGAGATGGGCCATGTTCCTTAAGGGAGAGCTGGACAGCAGAGGTACTTTAGGATCACTTCTGGGACACCGGGGAGGGACAGAAGAAGCAGCTGTTGCCTCTTCTAGGAACCTCAAATCTTTGGTCTGGTCTGGGTCAGTTTTTTAACCATCACTTGAGGCTCACAGTCATTCGAACACTTGGCAAAGGTGAAATGTGGCTGCCCCATCCCTGGAAGTGTTCAAGGCCAGGTTCGATGGCACTTTGAGCAATTTGATCTAGTGGAAGGTGTCCTTGCTCATGGCAGAGGGTTGGAACGAGATGATCCTTAAGATCCCTTCCAACCCAAACCATTCTGTGATTCTGCCTATAAAGATTCCATGAACATACTCGGCACAGCAGGAAGGTGAGACATGCATGTCTCAGCACCCTGGTTGTTGTGAAGTGTGCTGGCCTTGAGGTGTCTCTGTCTCTGTCCTTGCTCACATCAGCAGAGTACCTCCCAAAAACCACAGGTGGCACACACGTCAATGAGGGTGGAATGTCCAGGAACCAGACACCTGCAGATCCTGCTGTGGCCATGGGATCTTTGCTGCCCTTGAAGGACAGCAGTCTGCAACAGCATATATCTCCTTGATCTACATGTCCAAGCAATATTTCTCTTTCCTAGATTTTGTTTTCTTATGCCCATTTGGCTTTTGCTGCTGTGACTTCCTCTGTCCCGAAGACCTGCAGTGCTCAATCTCCTTAGCATCTCTTTGGCTATTCACTTTGTTTTTCCATGGGGACTGAAGACTCAGGATAAGACTTTGGTGGTCCCTCATTTTTTCAGTAGAATCACAGAATAATTGGGTTGGCAAAGACCACCAAGATCATTGAGTCCGACCTGTGACTGATCACCTTGTCAACTAGGGCAGGGCACTGAATGCCAAGCATTAAAGTGGAAACACCACTCTCCTTCTCTGGTTCAAAATCCCCCTTTTCCAGTACTGCAGTCACAAGAGTTTTTTCAATTTCCCTGCAGTTGCTCAGCTACCTCCCAGCTTGCCCTGCTTTGAGCATGAGGTTGGACTGCTGCCTGTAGCATCTCACAGAAAGAAAACTGAGGTGGAAATCAGAACATCCTTGGGGAGAAGCCAGATCTGGACTTTGGAAAAATTTCTCTAGGAAAGTGCTGCAAGTCCTGCTTCTTTTCAAACATGACATGGAAAGCTTACCAGAAGCACTTTATCTAGGAACCTCTGAGCTCCCAGCTGGGAGAAGACTGGAGGATCCAATAGGATTGTTTACAGGTTGAAGAAATGGAGGTTTGTCTTACAAAACAGACCCCACGGGAGCTGGATCAATAAGCAACAGAGCTCCTTCAACATCACTCACAGCCCTTTTCCATGTGGGAAGTGCACAGCTCTGGACAACACGTGGGCACTGCCCATGCTGACATGAAAGGCAGAGCAGTGCCAGTTATTAAGGGTTGGAGCATAAATTTTATAAAAAAGTAGTGAAATGGAAAACCATGAGCTTGTCGATCCTAGGGGTATGAGGACAAGTCCATGGCTTCTTCTGCTTATTTCTGGTTATAACAACCAACATGTTGTTACAGTATTCCTGGACTTCTGGAAGTGCAGGAAAATTAGTCCAGTTTAGTTGTGAATGAATGAGCAGTGGAAACATTCCCCTTCTCTGCCAGCTGTATCCCACCAGCACAAAAATGACTGCAGGCCATGACCCGCTCTGTCCAAGTTCAGTGTCCCTCTCCATTTGCCTTCCAGGGGAGCAAGAGCCCTTCACCTGAAATCCTGCTATGATGCTGTGGCTGCTGCTGCTGCAGGTCTGGGCGAGCTGCCTCTGGCTGGGACACAGCGAGGTGGTGACATCCTTTGAAAGTTCATGTCCTTAGTTTTTCTGTGGCAATACTCCCCAAATGAAGCCCTGGAGCCTCAGAACCCAGCCTGGATCTGCCAGCACTACAGCAACAGTTATTACTATGCCACCCTGTATGACATAAACAGGCGTGTTCCCATGTACTTTGCTTACATCTACCAGCCTGGAACTGGCAAGAGACCTCAAACATGGTGTGTTGAGCCCCAGGTGAGTGTCCTCTCTTACAGCATGTCACCCTCCACTCATTAAAACATGAAATGCAGCATTTAACTAAACACTTCTCTTTCCTCCCACCCCTCCTACACGGACATGCAAAAGGACCCACTGGATGGGATTCATCTCATGTAACTTCAAACACCATCTCCACAACACATCTCCCTGTGTATGGGGTTAGAGAAGGCAAGCACTGGTGTTCCAGGAGTGTGGTACACCTGTAGCAGTCACAAGTGGAATCAGAGAATGGGGGTGGGAGGATCTGGGGAGAGCACTGGGCAGATGTTGGGCGTGGAGAAGACAGTAGGAAAGAGAACCAGATGTGGCAGGGGAAAGGTCTCACCAAAATCACCTTTCAAACCTAGGAGTGGGAAATGCTCATCGTCTCATATATCCACCCATAACTCCACTACAGGCTGCAGGCTGGATCACAAAGGTGACAAGTCAAAATGAGAACAGCAGGATTCTGAACTTCCTTTTTTTAAAAGCTCTAGTTTATCCAGAAGGGGCAATTTCTCTCAAATTCATTCATTTTCATACACTGATACAACAAAAAATAGTATGCTTGACACTCAGAGACTTCTACTCCAGGGAAACCTGCTCCATTAGTCCCATCCCCAATACTAACAATTTTTCCTTTTCTTTACCTGTCAAGCTGATGGGTTCAAATTATCCCAAAACTGTGGGAAAAGGGTCGACCCTCTTACATGGTTACAGTGTCAGCTTAGAGAAACTCAGCGAGAGCCAGGCTGTCCTCCAAGACTACAGGAACCTGATGGATTTGAGCTGGGGCCATTTGAACTCCAATGGCCATCACCTCGAGTACAGCAGCAGGATGGCTACCTTCACCCTCACCAACATAGTGCCCCAGGATGAGAAACCCAACAGCAGTGCCTGGAAAAATTACAGCAGAAAATGATGATCAGGAAGACCCAGGGCTGTACCACCACCTACGTCATCGTGGGTGCTGCACCTGGAAACATTGCCAAGGAATATGCCTGGGAATATTGCCAAGGCAGAGTTAATAAACCCAGCTACACCTGGTCGAGTGCCTGCCTCGATAAGAATCCCAAGGACATGGAACCTTGGGTGGTCATTGCCGAGAGTGGCAAGAGCCAGGTCCTGGAACTCAAGATGGGCCAGCTGAAAGCCATGTTGACACGGCTCTGTGGGAGGGGACAGGTGTCTCTGTTCCACAGCATCTGTCCCTGGGAATAAGCCTCACATCCTGGGTGTAAAAGGCTCAGGGAGTTTTGCTGAATGTCATAGAATCAGAGAATCACAGAATGGTTTGGTTTCGAATGGACTTTAAAGATCATTGAGTTACAACGCCCCTGCCACGGGCATCCTCTAGACCAGGTTGCTCAAAGTCACATCCAACCTGTTGAACACTTCCAGGAATGAGGCAGCCACGACCTCTCTGGGCAACCAGCCCTAATCTCACTACAAGCTCCTTTCAGGTAGCTGTAAAGTGTAAGGAAGTCCTCCCGAGACTCCTCTTCTCTAGACTAAAATCTAATCCTAATATCTGATCTAAACCTGCCATCTGTCATTTTAAAGGAGTTCTCCCTTGCCCTGTCACTCCAAGCCCATGTCAAAAGTTCCTCTCCAGCTCTCTTGTAGCACTTGCAGGTAGTGGAAGGGGCTCTAAGGTGTCCCAGAGCATTCCCAGCCTTAGGCTGGCAGCATGACTAAGTGTTGTTACAAAACATTTACAATTAGGCAAGGAAAAATACGTAGCCTGACAATACTAATTATATTCTGAGAGGCTGTAGAACAGCAGACTGTGACTATCTGAGTGTACTCAGAGGCAGGCTGGTCAGTCTAATGCCACCAGAGATGTTCTGCTGGGCACAGAGACACATGTAGGTTCTGCTGCAGCAGCAGCTGCAGCCCCTGGGGAATGAGGAAATGGACAGGGAAGTCACCAGACCCAGTTAACTGCTCCTGACACGTGATGCTGCAAGTCAGTCAAGCTGGGAAATATCCTGAGGAACTTGCAAATAGCAACTGTCTCCCCATTTCTGGGCAGGCATGAACAAATCTCCCCTGAGCAACAACAGGAAACTTCTCTTTTCTGTGGAATTCCCTGTTTATCAAAAGGGGCAGATTTACAACTGGGCATATATTGCAGTGGGACTCCTGAGGGATCAGACAACTGTTTCTCCAGGGGGAAGAGGCAAGGAGTGGCTCAGCTGCCTGTTCTGAAACTCTGCTTCAAGGTAAGCTCTTGCTCCTTTCTCAGCATTGACTCCAATATTTCAAGTGTTTCCTTAGCTTTGGAATAAAGAGATCAGACAAAGCATAGGCTGGAGTTGTTGAGCTCCACCATCTGCCTTCCATGGAGAAATGAGAGATTATGCATGCACTGAATTGTGCAGCTCTTTAACTTTTTGTATTAAGGAGGGCAAGGACAGAAGGATGGATTTGGGAGAGAAATTCAAGCCAAGTCACCTGGAAAATTCACACCATAATGTTGACTAAGAATCAGGAGGGGTGAGGTGTGGTGCTGAGCTTATGGAGGACCAAAATTCCACCCATGACCTTTCAAAAGACCTCTGGACAAACACAGGTACTGGCTGCACTCCTGGGCAAACTTAATCTGAAACCCTGTGTGGGAAATCTCACAACCTTCCTTCCAGGGGGATCGTATATAAACAACCAGTCTCAGACTGCAGCAGAGACATTTCAGCCTTCTACCACTCTGGGACTGTGAGCAGAGTCCTGAGCTGCTCTTTCTCACGGTAAGTTGGTTTCTATCTGTCTGATATTAAGTGAGATATATTTTAAGCTCATGGAGGGGGTGTCACAACAGGACTTTTCAGGAACTTCTCTCTTGATTAGGGGCAGAGATGGTCCTGCCCTGCAGAGCACTGTAAAAAGCCACTGCTTGTGATTTCTGTTCTCTGTTTCTGACCAGCTCCTTGGTCATCACATTCCCGATTCAGGGCTGGTAAAGAGATAAAGAACCACATGTCTTGAGTGAGAGTAAGGGTATATGTAGCTCAATATCCCATTTTCAGCTGAGAGCCAGTACAATCTTGGGTTCAGTATAGCACCTGAATGGAAGAGCTGCACATCTGTGTGAACCTGGATGGGGGCAGAGACTTGTAGGAAGTGCAGCATTGCTGTTATTTCCCTGACAAATGCCCCATGAACTAACTGCAGGTGGCTGAGCAGAGTCTGTGCCCAGCTGCAGGGCTCTGTTATGGAAAGACCCTCAGAGCAGAAGAAAGCAAGAATGGCATGAAGCTGAGTCAGGGGAGGTCTAGGTGAGGTATCAGAAAAAGGTTTTTCACCCAGAGGGTGGTTGGGCACTGAACAGGTTCCCTGGGGCAGTGGTCACAGCACCAAGCCTGACAGAGCTCAAGAAGTGCTTCAGCAATACTCTCAGGCACACGATGGGATTCTTGGGGTGTCCTGCACAGGGCCACCAGTTGGGCTCGATGATCCTGATGGGTCCTTTCCAACTCAGTATATTCTATGATTTTATGATTCTACAATAACACTTTTTATTAATAAAACTGTGTGGCAGGTTAAGGTTCAAGGGTGGCCAGTGATAGTATCTGACGGGAAAACTATATTCAAAGCAATACATTAATTCAAAGCAACACATTAATTCAAAGCAACACACCAAGAAGCTCTGATCCCCCAAAAAAGCTGGCTGGAGATAATCATTCAGCCCTCACAGAGTATGATCCTTACCCAATAGGTGTCCCTATGGGGGAGAAGACAGGTTCAGCCCATCATCTGATCCCAGAAGTTATGATGGAGTCTTCCCTCACTTCTCCCCATTTTTAACTCACTTTTACACTATTTCTTTACATTTAGGTGGAGCCTGTGTGATTTTACTCATACATATTACTCAGTGGAAAATGGTTGTACCTTGGGAGTGGATATCTCAGTGTAGTACTAGAGATAACCAGGGGATGGGGACATATGTAAGTCCAAGGAGAGTGATTGCACCACAGTTGCTGATTCAGCATCAGGACATCTTCCTTTATCTCCCTCGGATTTCAGCTGCTGTGCAGCTTATCAGCCAGAAAGTACCACTGAGGTTCCTCCTCTGCAACGGTTTCGACAGAGCCTGGCCATAGTGTCTCTGCTCTGCTCCACCCACTGTTTAATCCCCTTAGATTGTGTTGTGTGCAGGAGGTCAGGTATCCTGACTGTGTTCCATCCAGGGAGTATCAACCATATTTTCCCCTGTAATTTCCATACTGTTATCCTTTTACCCCCAGTCATCTTCCTACACACCCTTCTTGCCCTGCTGATTTTTCCATATCCCAGAGGACAGAAGTTATCCCCTCCTTGGTCTCTTGTAGTCCCCTCATCAGCCAGCTGTGTCCCATCAGCACAAAAATGACTGCAGGCCATGGTCAGCTCTCTCCAAGCTGAGTGTTCCTCTCCATTTGCCTTCCAGGGGAGCAAGAGCCCTTCACCTGAAATCCTCCCACGATGCTGTGGCTGCTGCTGCTGCAGGTCTGGGTGAGCTGCCTCTGGCTGGGACACAGCGAGGTGGTGAAGTCCTTTGAAAGTTCATGTCCTCAGTTTTTCTTCCGGGAGACTCCCCCAAATGAAGCCCTGGAGCCAGAGAACCCAGCCTGGATCTGCCAGCGCTACAAGAACGAATATTTCTTTGCCACCTTGTACGACAGAAAGGAGCGTATTCCCGTGTACTCTGCTTACATCTACGAACCTGGACCTGGCAAACGACCTCAAGGGTGGCTGGTTGAGCCCCAGGTGAGTGTCCTCTCTAACAGCATGGCACCCTCCAGACATTAAAACATGAACATTAGTATTTAAATAAACACTTCTATTTCCTCCCACCCCCATACACGCACACGCATGTAAATGGAGCCACCGGGTGGGATTCATCTCATCTCACTTCAAACACCTGCACTACGATTCCTCTGATGTGTCTGAGACAGCAGCAGGAGGATGAGATGAGTCCTATCCCAAAGGTGCCCAGTTTTCTGCATTGACCTGAGAGCAACATCAAGTCAAATTCCATTCCATTCCATTCCAAAGTCAAATGACCTCCCTCTCTGTGCCCTGCTGTGGTGGGAGACCCAGTGATGGGGAAAAGGCATCCAACAGCAGCTAAATTTGAGGGACCAAGAGTCCTGCTGGGCTGTGATCTCCACTTTGCCCTGAGCTGTTTTGCATCCCTGACAGAGCTTAATTTCTCACAGTTAAGACTGAATTTGTTTTTGTAAGTGATGTGAGAGAAGTGAGGAGAAACTCAGAATTGGGTGAGATGGCCCAGGGAAAAAGCCTTGGCACAGCCATTGAGTGGTGAGAGGGTTTGGTGAACACCTGGGGAATTTATTAAGTGATATTTCAGGCAGTGAAAAGTGAGGAGCATCAGTGTCAGTCCAGTCAGAACGAGGTGATCTCCATCCATGGGCAGTTGCCCCTAAGCACCATTGCCTCAGGCTCGGTTCAGAAGAATCCATCAGAAATACAGACCTCCACAAACAACAGAGTCCTCCCAAACCTCCTTGAGACAAACTTCAGATCTTCAGTAAAATAGGCCAAGGAAATTATAGAAGAGAAAGAGAGGAAATTCAGGGTATGGCTGAGGACGCAGTAGCAGACGGGTTTCAGGTCAAAATGAGTGACAGAAGAAAGCCATATGCCCTGTTCCAGAGGAAGGCTCAGTATGTTTCCCTAAAGATGAAAAGAAATGTGCTGTAGTTATGAAATAAAAAAACATTTTCGCTTGTTACTTACAGGAACTTGAGCAACTAATGTGGTATTGCACCACTGCAGCCTCCACATTTAGTAGAGATAAAAGTGTGTAATCATAGACTCATAGAATGGTTTGGGTTTGAAGAGACCTTAAAGATCATCTCATTCCAACCTCTCTGCTTGGGCAGGGCCACCTTCCACTAGACCTGGTCACTCCAAGCCTCATCCAACCTGGCCTCGAACACTTCCAAGGATGGGGCAGCCACAGCTTCTCTGGTCAAAAGGTTCCAGTGCCTCACCACCCTCACAGGGAAAGATTTCATCCTAGTATGTAATCTAACCCTTTCCTCTTTCAGTTTGAAGCCATTTGCCCTTGTCCTCTCACCCAATGCCCTGGTAAAATAGCCATACTTCTTCCCAAGTAAGGGGTAGAAAAGGAGAGGAGGAGATGGGGCTGAGTCCTTTTCTCCTTCTGGAAGTTCTAGGATCACCACAGCCTTTCTGCTCATCCTCTTCTCATCCTG